ACTTAGTGAGACCCTGCCTCAAAAGAGAAAAAAGGGCTGGGGATGCAGCTCAGTGTGAAGGCCCTAGGTTCAGTCTGCTTTTAAATATTCATAATATATATTCAAATATATACACATTCATATACATATGCACGTAAACATATTCATAAATAAGTACAGATATATGTGAGTGAGATATGGTTAAAAATAAAGTAAATGTTTACACTGTAAAAACATATTATAATGAAAGACACAATGCCATCAACCCCTTCAAAATACTTCACCTTACTTTTTTTTTTTAAATGGAACGCTTCACAAATTTGTGTCATCCTTGCGCAGGGGCCATGCTAATCTCTGTATCATTCCAATGTTCGTGTATATGCTGCCGAAGCCAGCACTCCATCTCACTTTGAATACATTCATTCCACCATTCTCGCTCCTTTCTGAAACAGTTCTGAAGTCCTCTTTCATGAATGTGTTTTGTCCTTCTGTGTGGCTGCCTTGATATCCTGCTTCAAAATGTTCACTTTCATGATCATTTTGAACTGGGGAAGAGGCAGACACTGCACGGTGACAGTTCTGGTGAATAAGGTAGACGGGGACTCACTGTGCTGTTTCATGAACCTGCCTTTCAGGTGGACGACACTCCTTATTCACTGTATTTTTTAATCATGCTTCAAGTGACACTCAAGAAAGAGAACTTCCAGAACTGCTTCAGAAATTGGGGAGAATGATGGGATAGGTGTGCCTGAGGTGGGAGGGAGCGGTTATTTTGAGAGGGTCAATGGCAATGTGTTTTTTATGACAGCATTTATAAATTTACATGCTCACTGTATATTTCAGTCATGGCACATATATGAAACAAAAATATAAAAAATAGTTGTGATCACAATTAGAACACTCCCTGATAATACCCAATCAGCAACTAGTATGCACCTGGGTATAAGCAATAAATTTTGGCTTTCCAGAGTATAAAGTAAGTATACACACCAGATTTTAGCAATGAAAGTAACAACAAAACAAGTTTGGACATTTTTTCGATTTCTGGTGCTGAATTTCTAGATGGATGCACACAGAAGCTGCCATGGCACCTTTCAGGGAAGCTTATGTTTAGGAAAAGGCAACCTCCTCTACTCAGAAACCTCTCATTGCATCACACTTGGATCTTCTGAGAGCCGGCTACCATGGCCTGTGTGTTACCTGAAGTGCTAAAATGGATTTTTCACCATGTTACCTTTCTAAAATAGATGCACAGAGGTCAAACAAATGGGAATATTATCATGAGAGCTATTATATTACAGGCCCGTGAAAGTACACGTAAGAGAACGTGCCAGGCCATCCCAGGGCAACAGGGAGACATCAGAGGTGGGTCTGGACCTGAGTCTTGAAGGACAAGTTTGTTAGGCCGAGAGCAAAAGCCCATCTGAACAGAGGGAAAGAGTGTCTACGGCAGGGAGGCATAAGATCTAATGGCATGTCACCTCAACAAGGACAGCCAAGATCATAGGGTATATGGAGGGACTTAGGGTAGGTGGGAAGCAGGGATGGAGGGAAAGTTTAGGAATCCCTGTTGCATTCCAGAGTTCAAAGTACAAGACTTGTGGGAAGGAGGAGCCACTGACCACTGTTACTCCTCCTGTCTCCCCAAGCTTGCTGGTTTCACACAGGGATCTGTGCTGTGTGGCTGCTCTACTGCGCCCCTCGATAAGCCAGTTTTGTCTTTCCAGGAAAAAGAAAATCTGCTTTTCTAATTGCAGTCCTGATTTTTCATCCACTTCACAAAAATGGTGTTTTACAGTCAGGTAAAGAAGCGTTCATGAATATATATGAAGCCCATCACTTGAGGAGTTTGCTTTAAATTCTTGGTAGTAATTTTTTCTATCCTTTACAAAAGTTTTAGCTGTATTTTTTTCTAATCTGTTTTTTCTAAACTAGTAAAAGCTAGTTTTCTGGAACTAGGTTACAGACAGACTTTGGCCCATTTAACAAGGTCAGACTGTTTATTCTTGACAGAATTCTTTCCCACTGTAAAAAGGTACTTTTAAATGCCACATTCCAAAACTAGTGCCAGTAAGCCACTGAAGCATATTTTCCCACAAGAACTGATACCATGTGCGGTCCCTACCTCACTGAGATCACCCAGCGTTCCAGAAGGTGCAGATAGTATTTAATGCCACCATGAAACTTATCAACTGAAGTGTATCAGCCAAGTGCTCAGGAAACACTTCCACACAATTCAAAACAGCGGTGATCTTTAAGAAGTAATTAATCAAAACAAAAATGGGAAAAGGGAATGATGGTTTTAAAAATTGAAAAAAAAAATTAAGATAGTAGAACAAAATTTGTAACTTTATATTACTATCCAAACCTACAAGTAGCAGAGCTTTTTATTCCTTATTTTGGGGTTTTTATGGTTGAGCTGTTAAATTTACAGCCCCATTTTTAGGTTCTGCCAAGCCTTCAAGATAAATATATGAGCAGTGCTAAAGTAAATTCTCCTACGCTTTCCCCTTCTTTCCCTTGGATGTTTCCCTGAGACTCGAAGGTACATTATCCCTCCACAGCCAACTGTCAAGTTTAACATTCCCATTTATGAGGGATTTAAAAATCATCAGTATCCTCACAGACACTGGGTGCAAAAGTATCACTCAGCCTATGTTTCTACCCCTAGAGAAAATAAACGATGAGAGCAAAGGCAGTAAAAGGAAGGGTTCAGCTGCTCAAAAAGCATCCTTTAGGAGCAGATTTAGAAAAGCAGCAACCAAGTCAATAAAATTAAACAGAAAATCCAGGACTACAAAATAATCCTTGAGAAGTGTGACCTGAACTTTTGGAGACACCTATACAGATGAACAGAAACACGTACCTAATCTTATAAAGGACTGAAAACAAACAGAACAAACAAACAAACAAACAAACAAACCAGACATTTTAGTCCTTTCCCGAGACAGCCTGGTTCCTCCAAAGATCCTGAAAAATATTTTTCTTGAATAAAAGTGTGTCATTCCGAAAATAACAGTATACAAATTGGGAAGATGGAGGAAAGTTGATGAGCTTGAATAAGGATGAAACACATGAGGTTTATCTGAAACTCGGGGATGCCTGCCCAGACAGACAGTCAAAGTATAAATGTTACTCCCATGGAGCTGAAGTTACCATCAGGGACCCAGGCGGGGAACTGGGAAGGTTAGCTAAAGTTGCGTCTAAAAAAAAACAACCCCCTGCCCCAAAAAACCTTTAGATGCTTGTAAGTGATGATGAAAAGACAAGAAGTAACACAGATTTGGAAATTCATTCATTGATTCATTTGTGAAAGCAGGGAGTTGTGAATCAAGTTAAAAACAGTGAGACCTTTGATGGTGTTAGATGAGAAGTAATAAGTGCTTATGTGCCTAGGGGTGGTCTTTGGACTGGAAAACAGAAAAGTAGGTTGGGGATGCACAGCAAAAGACCCGGAACATTTTGTACGTCACACTACAGAGTTTGGTATTTGTTCTTCAGGCACTGGAGAATCATGAGGATTCATTCATTGATTCACCTTGTATTTCTCAAGTGCTTACCAGGTACACAAAGGCACTGTGAGAAACACTAAAATAGTGTAAAATTTTGATTGTGTGGAGTATACATGGGCAGTCCAATGTGACAGAATTTGAGCAACATATCTTGACTTAGACACTTTACACTATGAGATTACTGAAGCCCAAGGAAAATGATGCTATAGCCAACTTTCCCTTCCCTTCAAGGAGGTAGTGAGAGCTCTACAACACAAGTTCACACTTCCAAAAAATTAAAGGGGACACAAAAGTCCAAGCTATAGAAATGTTGCTTTATATTCAATTCCAAGACGGTGCCTCATAGTCCGATGAGAAATTAACATGCTTGAGTTAAACAAATTTAGGAAATAGAATTATCTCATTAAATGAAGTTCTTCAGACCAGCCTCTGACCAAGCACAGAAGGCACAGTCCCGTAAGAACATTAAAGGTAAGTAACAACACTACTCTGTCATCTTCTGGATTCCTGAGAAACCTTTGCTTGCACAACCTTAAGACACTGTTTGGTTTTCACATTTACATTTGGCTTCAGGCTTCTGAGGTTTCAATGGCACCATATGGAATGTTTATGACAGGATGTAACAAGCCAGGTGACAACCAGACCGTATCTATATCATATCTTGATAGGACATGCTGGTTGAACGTGTATGGAGGAAGCAAAACATCCAGTCCTTTCTCTGAGTAAAACATCCTCCTGAAAGTAGCACTCCAGTTAAATTCTTTTCGTCCAGAACTAATATACAACAGTGACCACTTATGAAGGAGCTAGAACAAGGTGAGCCAAATGAACGGCTTTCTTTTATAAATATGGAGAGCAGTTGTTCGATTCACTTCCCAAATAGAGCTGGCACAGGACAGGCACACGCACCTATAGCAGCTTCCTGCACAGTACAGAACTCATTCTCTTTCTGCACGGGAGAAATTCTCCCAGTGGTCATCACTGTTTGCCTTTGCTGTGGAGGCAGAGTTAACCTATCAGACGGTAATTCAAAATGTGTTTTATTACCACTGAGAATGCGCAATGGAAGATCTGGATGGGTGTTCATGTTTGTTTTGGCTCTGGCATTTTCCACGTACCCAGTCCTGGGAATCCTAAAGAAAACGTGTCCTGTTCCCAGCTCTGTGCACTGCCCCCATTGTGTTCCACTTCCCTCACTGGGGAAAGTGAAAACGAAACCAGCACAAACACCCCATTGTTAGCTGTGAAATACGTACTGGCAACTGGAGTCCTAACAAAACAGACCTGGTAGTGTCATGGCAAGATGCTGAGTGGGGAGGGAGTCCTGGAAGCCCTTCCTTCTTCAGAGGTGTATCCTGCACTTTCGCTGAGGTGCTGAGGCCACAGGGCTTTGGGTTTTTTCCATTATACTCATGTAATGCTCTTGGTTTGATTTATTCAGTATGCACTGGCAGCTCCTGGAGGCTTCTGTGGGAGCAACTCGGCTGCCCAAGCTGAAGCACAGACCCTGCCAGGTCTCCATAGTAAATACAAGATGCACGAAGTGGAAACAAGCACAAACAATTTATTTTCTCCGGCAAAAGATGACACTCTTGTCCGACCTCTGGTCCTGCTTCACTCTTGTCGCTTGGTAGTGCCAAGTGGGTGCCACACAATGAGCTATTCCAAACACATACGCAGAAAACACAGACTGCGTGATGCACACATCACGGGGCCTGTGTATCCAGGCAGCTTCCAAACAGCAAGCCGGTGGCCCCTGAGGACATCTCACATCCTGGCATGGAGAGCAAGGAGGGCTTCCTGGACACCATCCTTGGTAGGTTTCTGAGTCATCTGTTCTCACTGAAACCATATAGAACCTTAGCTCTGTTTCTGATTATGTGTTCCTTTGCATGACTATTTTATGGAGATCTATCTCCTCATCTGGCTTGTAAACTCTTTGAATCCAAAGACCTTGCCCATTTTTGTATACAATTATCTTCCAGGTTCACTGATAGCAACCTGGCTCATGGAAAGTAATCAGTAATTATCTGTTGACTGAAAGCCATGACTCATTATATTTATGTTCTCCCATAGTTTCCCTGAATCCCAAATTTTCTTTTACTGTTTAATAAATTCTACCAACACTGAAGTTAGACTAAAAAACCAGCTAGTGTCAGAGGTATAATGGATGTATACAATTCAAATTTTGTATGCTTGTTGTGATTAACTTATTAATTAATCATCTTAATAAAACCATTTTTAGAATCTTCTCAGTGCCATTAAAAACATTCCCAAATGATTTTTGTATTTTTTACAGCTTACTAATAATAGTTTTACTACTTTTTAAAATTTATGTATTGTCTTTTGATGATTTCTACAGAAAAAATGTCTTTTTAGGACATGCACATCTTTTAACAGGGATGACGAAAAAACACCTTTGGAGAAGGTGAATATAACTCACTTAGTGAGAACATGTTAAAAGTTATTAAAGATAGGAGAACATTCCCACTCTTCCATTATGGTACAAAATGGAAATTTCCACCAAACTATATGTTAGGCAAAGGCATTAGAAAGAAAAATACTAATTTAATGATGAATATTAAATAATTACACTGAAAAGTCACAATAAGACTGTTTAGTGTAGCGAAGAAACTGATTGGAGGTAGGCCCATTTTGGACTTCATAGCAGAAGCTTAGGGTATCCAAAGGAATGATCTCACTTTAGGGTGTGGACTTCTTCCTGTTCATGAGTAGTTTTATGGTGACTATCCTGCAAGAGTGACTGACCCTTACATTTTGGCACTGGCAATCACATCTGAAGATAAAAATGTCTGAAAGGAATGGCTTCATCTTCTGGTGTAGACTTCTTTCTATCCATGAGTAGTTTTATGGTGACTGTGCCAGAGAGTGACTGGACTTTACTTTCATGGTATTGGCATTCACATCTGGGTATAAAAATGTATAGTAGTCGTCTCATGTACAGTGAGTACAGCATAATCCTTGAGCCGCTACAGTTATGAACCCGGATGATTTATGGGAGCGGATATACACATAAGAGTCACTGAAAGAATGCTTGATTTTCCCTAACAAATAATACAAAATATTCAGATGCATAGCATGTCAGAAATTTTATTCTGAAATCTGTATAAAAAATAAACTAAGGGGCTGGAGATATAGCTCAGTGGCATAAGCACCTGCCTGGCAAGCACAAGGTCGTGAGTTCAATTCCTGGTACCACAAAAAAAAAAAAAAAAAAAAAAAAAAAAAAGAAGAAAAAGAAAAAAAAGAAAAAACCAAACCAAACCAAATCAAACCAAAAACCAAACAAACAAAGTAGGTAGCACCAGTGCCCACCTCAGTGTTCCCCACTGTGCCAAAATGTGGTAGCAGCTAGGTTATTTTTAAAATAAGACTTAAAAGTATTTTTAAAAATGGAGTCTGTGGTACTTTGGATACATTTCCTAGAACCTGAGAGTTCCAAGAAACATAGTTAGATATTCTTTGAGGTACTGATGCCTGTAGTGGGGAGAAAAGGGAAGTGGGGATTATGGGTGAGAGCCAGATTAGAAACCTCCAAATTCTCCAAGCCATTTACTACCTAGTTAATAAATTCAGACTTAATCTGGTTTAAGTCTCAGCTTCAATTTTTTTTTTCCCCCCGGTACCGGAAATCGAACTCACGACCTTGTGCTTGCCAGGCAGGCGCTGTGACACTGAGCTAAATCCCCAGCCCCACTTCCTCATTTTCAATATGAGAAGGTTGATAAGGAGTTTCTAAAACACCAAAGGCTCTAAGATCACCTTGAATGCTGTATGGTTGGGTTTAAGAAAAATAATACCGAAGATTTTACATCATAAACAGAAAAGAAGACGTTCCCTCCCCGAGTCTCTGGTGACTGGGGCAGCTGGTGATGTGCCTGGCTCTGCTCGGAGACTCTGACAGACCTGGATGCATGATCAGGTAGGACTGAAACTGGCTGAGAGGCTCCTCTTGATTTCCTTTCCTTCACAATAAAAATGAGTTGGACAAGACACTGCATTTCACACGGGAAGTAGTGAGGAGTATTGACTTTAGAATGACTCTGAATATAATTTTGGCTAGTCTTAACAGTCACCGTATTGAATACGTGTACATTCTTGACACACTTTTGCCAGAGATTATATAAATGTATGAGTCACGACTCTTACGTATCACTTACTGCAATGCAAAGAAGCTCCCCATAACCTGTTCTCTTTGGTTTTTCCACACAGTGTAGGTCAGGGAAGTTGATTTTTCACTGTTTCAGAGAAACTTTCTGATAAAAACAACTTACATCAAGGAGCTATACCTTACTTCTCCCCTCATTTCCAGCTCCATAATGCACAAGAGATCTCACATACAAGCTTCCGGACATTCCAGTCTGCATGTCCAGTCCCTGCCCACATGCCTGCAAAGAATAGCCCCTGGCTTAGGGACAAGTACACAATGGCACAATCCGCTGTTAGGAAGAAGGATGAGCCTATGAAGCTCCATGTGCTTAGAGAAAAGCAATGTCTTGAGAGCAGGATAGAGGTCTCTGAGGCAGGTCTCCTCACCATACTTGGCTCTGTGCCCATGAAGGAGACATGATTAGAGCAACCAGCATAGACTCCTGTAAAGCACGAGACCTAGGCCAGGGCCAGTCTTGTCAAATTCAAGGTATACACTGTTGCCACGCTTACACTAACCCTATTGCCTTTAAAGAGATAGGTTTAAACCTTACTCCGTATGGATAAATGTGCATGCACAACTATAAACTGAGCAACAAGAAATTAATATCCCCTGAAGACATCTCAGTGTTGTGTTGGAAGCAGCCCAGGAAAGACAGGTATCTAAACAGCACTTAACTTTGACATAAGCCCCAACTTATCAGGTGGGGACAAGTTTATTTAGGCTTATGTTGCATAGCAATTATAGCTAGAATGATAGTCCAACTTACCATGATTCTCCTTAAGGTCACTTCTATCAGAAAGGCCAGAACAGGAAATATATTCCATTTTGGAGAAGAGTAAAAGAAACTATTTTTTTTAAAAGAAAAAAAAAAAACAAAACACAAAATTTCAAAACAAGATAACAGGAGGGTAACAATGGTTAATACATTGAGTATTGTTACCTTTATTTCTTTTGTTATCTTTAAATTAGGTACTCAGAGTATACTCTATTGGCATTTAGTTGTCCAAGTAATAATAGCACAAACCTTTCTTTTCAATGAACTAGGAGAAATTAATAGTATAATTATCTCAACTAATATATATATGTTTTGCTTTTCTCCTTTCCCCATCCCAAAATCTCTTTCCTTTTGAACAGTTTCTTCCCATTTAACAAAATCTATTTTACATTTTGGATCTTATTTACTTTCAGCTTCTCACACTATGGAGACAATATGATATTTGCACATGTGTGTCTGGTTTATTTCACTTATGAGTATGGTCTCTAGATGCATCCATTTACCTATAAAAGTCTCCAGTTTACCCTCCTTTTTTGGCTGAGTAGTACTCCATTGTATAAAAGGACTTTTTAAAATCTATTCCTTGGCTGATGGGCATTTGGTAGAAATTCTTTCGTTAAAAAAGTACAAAATAATTAAGACCAGGATATAAAAGGCTCTATCTTAAAATTACTAAAAAACATTCACCTGTCAAGGACAGCTAATTTCTCAATTAATCCAGAAAAGAGAAGAAGGCAACAAGATGGCAGAGTGGTAGGCAGCAGAGAAAGAGCCTCTATGAGAGTCATATCCAGATGCTGGAATACAGCAATGTGAGGAAGATAAAGAGGAGGGAAATGGAGCCCCTGGACCCAGGATAGATCTGAAGTGTGAACTGAAGCCCATGGAGACAGTGAAGAGAGAAACTTCAACAAAGAAGGAGGTAGCCAGCAGTGCCTTCTTGAGACAGAACTCACTGAGTGAGGAGAACGATTCAAGGCTGTGGACACACAATGACTGCTGGTGACCCCAGAGGCCTCTATGGAGAGATGCAGCAGTGGAGAGTGCTGAGGGTTTGGTCATCCCATGCAAGACAGTGATTAATTGAGGGTCACCTTGGAGAGAGGCTTGCTGAGCTCAGAACTCAAGAGTGGCTGCCAGCGTCATCTACTGACTCCCAGCTGGTTCAGGTCAGCAGAAAGTGTACTGACTACTACTGCAGGCCGAATGAGTCTGGTCTTGGGAGAAGGTACAGACTCGCTGCGATTATCCACTATTTCACCAAAAAAGCTACTGCAGGCTTGCTGGGATAAATCAACATGGATCAGGACTCTGTCTCCACACGTTGTCTACCAGTGACAGCAGAGACAAACCTGGAAGTGGACTTTTTTTTCTCTCTCTCTCTCTTGTTTGTTTTTTGTTGTGGTTTTGTTTTTTTCTCCTTCATTGTTTGATCTTGTTTTTATATGAGTATGGATGTAGTTTCTAGCCTCTTTGTGGTTGGTGTTCTGCTGTTTTTTTTCTCTCTTCCTTTTTGCTTTCCTCCAGTCTTCTGCACCAGTTTCCCAAAATTAGTATGATCCCCCTTTGTCCTCCAGCCTTACTTCTAATCTCTTCCTCTTCTTCTACTTCTCTACTTTTTTTTCCTAATCCCTTTTAAATTTTAACCACTGAGGCAAAAATTGACATTAAGGACTCACATAGTGCATGCAATTTCCTGGTCAATTTTAGATTTTGTTATATAACCATATGGTTCATATGGTTAAAGGTGGCATATTCACAGTTACTTGGTTTGTCATTTTCTAGGCTGTGACTGATGCTACTGTTATTGCTGATAGTACTACTTTAGCCAAAAGCGACATAACTGTTCTAAAACAGCTATTCTTTCTGGAATCCCAAGACTGAGATTGACTAAGGGCATGGAAAATACCGTGGCACTGTGCCAAAGAACCAGGGGCTAGGCAAAACAGTCAGCAACTTCTCATCCCCAACAAATTGAAGAGGCAGGATCTTGCAACAGACTCAAAATCCAAAAACCAGTTACAGCTGGAGGAACCTTGGAGAAGGAGTCATTTCCTAAGGGCTCTAAATACTAACAATAAAGCAAGCCACCATAAGCAATTTATAAGCATCACCCTAGGAATTAAACTAAAAAGAGAAAATGAGAAGACACTTAAACATGATGCAACTCCAGACAACCAGTTCACCAAACGCAAACCCAGGGGGCAATAAGATTGGACAATCTGAAAGCCCACCTAGCCCCTCTGAAGTGGTAACAACAAAGTAATTGAATGAGGTTTTAGAAAAAATCAAATGAGAAATAATTTCTCACATAACTGCAGAGATGGTGTCCACAACGAAAACCATGCTTGGTGACTCTAGAGCAGATACAGACAAAAAAGTAGAGGAATGTAAGAAAGCCATTATGGAAGCCATGAATGCTCAGCATTGCAAAGAAATGGAATTCATAAGGCAGATTCAAGCAGATATCCAGGAGAATAAAAATTCCATTGCAAGTATCCACCAGCAGATTAAGTGAAGGTGAGAACAGAATCTCAGATATAGAAGACAGGCTTGTTGTTAGTGATCATGAAAAGAAAGATTTCTGAAAAATAGCAAGGGACCATAAGAAATCAATTCAGCAGCTGCTAGGTAAGGCAAAAAAGAGTAACTTAAGATTGATTGGAGTCAATGAAAATGCAGGAGACCGCACAAATAATATAAAAAGCTATTCACAGACATCATGGCAGAAAACTTCCCTGGGAGGAGAAAGAGTTTGACATACAGTTAAGTGAGGCATACAGAATTCCAATTAGCCATGATAAAAAAAATCTACAGCTAGGTGTATCATAGTCAAGATCGCAGAAATTCAGCATAAGAAAAGAATCATAAAAGCTGTTAGGGAAAAGAAACAAACCATTTATAAAGGAAAGTCCATCAGAATCACAGCTGACTTCTCAGTACAAACTCTCAAGTCAGAAAGAGCTTGGAGTGAACTATTTTAAGCTATAAAGGAAAACAACCTTCAACTCAGATTGTTGTACCATGAAAAATTATTTTTCAAAACTGATGAACAAATAAAATGTTTCCATGACAAAGAACATCTGAGGAAATTTGTGACCAGCAAACCAGCACTGCAAACTGTTTTGAAGGACATTTTAGAAAGTGATAACAAGGACTACAGGTCCATAAACCCAAATAGAAGGAACCCCCACCAGGCAAGGCAAACAAACAGAGCAGGGAAAAAAGGGAGCCAACAACAGGAAAATAATATGACAAGGATAACTCAATACATATCAGTTACAACCGTCAGTGTTAATGGTCTCAATTCACCAATCAAAAGACACAGACTGGCAAAATGGATAAAGAAGCAAGACCCAATAATATGCTGCATACAAGAAACACATTTAATTCAAAAAGAAATTCACAGGCTTGAAGGCCAAAGGATGGAAAACAATACTCTGTATGACAGAAACCCAGAAAAAAACTGGGATAGCTATTTTATTTGCAGACAAAGTTAATTTCAAGCTAAGACTGATTTAGCAAGACAAAGAAAGTCACTACATCCTTGTAAAGGGAACAATCCAAGAGGAAGAGACAGCAATCATTAATATATATGTAATGAATCCAATACACCCAACTATATAATACAAATATCAATGAAGATGAAAAATCAAATAAGCACTAATACAATTGTAATGGGGGACCTCAGCACCTCACTGTTAAGAAATAAGACAGATGAGCTTAGACAAAAAAAAAAAAATCAACAAAGAAATATCAGAACTGAACAAAACTTTTTAACAAATGAACTTAGTAGATGTCTACAGTGTGGCCCACCCCATAATATCAGAATATACATTCTTCTCAGCTGCTCGTGGGATGTTCATGCCAGCTCATAGAACATGCTTAAGTAAATGCAAAGGAACTGAAATTATCCCATGCATATGATCTGACCATAGTGCAATGAAACTGGAAATAAATGGCAAAAGAAACCACAAGAACTTCATAAACAAATGGGAATTAAATAGTACCCTCCTGAAAACTAATGGGTCACAGATAAAATGAGAGAAGAAATTAGACAGTTTCTATAATTAAATAACAAGGACAATACAACATACTGGAACTTGGGGAACACAATGAACGCAGTCCTAAAAGGAAAATTTATAGCAGTGAATACCTGTCTAAGGAAAATAGAGTAAGTGCAAATAAACAATGGTGAATCTCAAACATCTAGAAAAAGAAGAGCAGGCTAAGCCAAAAGCTCTTATGACAGAAAAAATTATAAAGATCAGAGCAGAAATTATTGCATTGGAGACTAAGAAAACAATACAAAGAACCAATCAATTGAAGAGTTAGTTCTTAGAAAAGCAAATGAAATAAAAAAATCTTTATACAACCTTATCAACGAAAGAAAGAGAAGACTTTAATCCACACAATTAGGAATGAAAAGGGTGAAATCACAATGGACTTGGCAAAAATTCAGATCATCTACACCAACTTTGAAAATGCGTATTCTAGTAAGATGGAAAATGTGGAAAAAATGGACAGATTCCTAGATACATATGAATTACCAAAGCTTAATCAAGAAGATATTAAAATCCTAAATACACCAATATCAATCAATGAAATCAAAGATGTAATTAAAAACCTACCAAGAAAGCAAACCTAGGCCCTGATAGATTCACTGCTGAATTGTAAAAGAAGCTGAGAGAAGACCTAACACCACTACTTCTCAAACTCTTTAATGAAATTGAAAGAGAAGCAATACTCCCAAATTCATTCCTGTAAGCAAGCGTTACCCTGACAGCAAAACTGGAAAAGGACCCATCTAAGAAAGAGGACTACAGGCCAATCTCCCTAATGAACACAGATGTAAAAATCCTCAATAAAATACTGGCAAACAGAATGCAGCAAATCATCAAGAAGATTATGCACCATGACCAAGTGAGATTCATCCCTGGGATGTAGGGATGGCTCAACATATATAAATCAATAAATGTAATATACCGTATTAACAGAGCCAAGGACAAAAATCATATGATCATCTCTGTAGATGTAGAAAAAGCTTCTGACAAACTCCAGTACCCATTCATGATAAAAACTACAGAAAATTGGAATAGATGGTCTGTACCTCAATCTGATAAGAGCCATCTATTACAAACCAACAGCCAACATTATACTAAATGGACAAAAACTGAAAGCTTTCACTCTAAAATCAGGAACAAGACAAGGATGTCCACTGTCTCCACTCTTATTCAACATAATTCTGAAACTTTAGCCACAGCAATTAGACAAGAGAAAGAAATAGAAGGAATAATGATAGGGAGAATTTAAATATCATTATTTGCGGATAACATGATACTCTACACAGAAGACCCCAAAAACTCCACTAAAAAACTGGTAGATTTAATGAATTCAGTAGCACAGATGGATACAAAGTCAATATAAGCTGTTGTCAATGTCCTAAATAGAAACAGCATGTATTTTTGGTAAATACATATATACTAATGTAGATAAAATAGGCAACAGATAGTAAAAGTATCTAACAATATGCCCATTCTTTCATTTGGAGAATATTACCACTGAAGAAAGTGAAACCTCTTCTAAAGCTTACTAATACCAAACATAATAGATGAAAAACAGTGTCATAAATTAGTAGAAATATAATAATGTCACCTTCTTTTATCTCCACGGCTTTCTGCTTAGAGCAGGAAGTTCAACTCACACTAGTAATCAGTTCGTGATGCAACGGACAGGATTACTTTAAATATACTGCGCAAACTGTGAACTTGGGTTTGAGCTATTCTTTCACCCCTGGCATGAGACCAAGCTACAGAATATGTAGCTTTCTGACTTTTGAACACAGGTACTTATCAATGAATCAATCAGAGTAAGGTACAAAATGTGCTCAGACGTTTAAGGTATATGATCAGGTAAATCCTTCAGCTCTGTATCAGCAGGTAGCTATATGGGAATATTGAGACCAGTAAATGTGTGAGTAACTTCTCTTTTTATGTCTATTATGACTCGACTGTTTATATTTGCATGTCAGTATGTCAATTTATTCACTAAAAATACTCGAATTCCTATCAAAATAAAAAAGGATGATAAGAGACAGCATTTACCTTTAAGGAACTTACAGTTTGATAAGTAATACCCCAAAACAGCTATAAACATGACAGAAAGCAGTATCACAAAAGACAAGATATTACTCTAAAAAGGAAGAGGAAAGGGGGATCAGTTTATGTAGGGGGTACCAGAAAGGACATCTCAATCAGGTTTTGACTGATCATTAATAGCACTGTTCACGGCTATAAGACTCCATTTTGAATCAGTTAACTTGTAATTCCCTTAATATTCCACAAATTAAGTTGATTCTCAATTCCTGTATGATACAATCTACTGAAAAATGTGTATTTATAGGAAGCGGAATGTATTTCTACCAGTTCAATATGAAAAACTGTGCTTCTAAGGTTTAATGTGTCGCCACGTGTATGTAAATAACTACATTAAATTGAACTTTCCTTTACGCAGAAAAGATATACAACGAGAAATTTTTAAAAATGCAATACCCTATGGAAAATGTATCTTTTATTATTGCCCTTGAATTCCACCTCTCACTCTTGCAAAAAGTCTTTCCCAGCTGCTAACATCTTTTACTTATGTCACCAAGGAAAATGCAAATCATACATATAGTGCAAACTAGCTACTGAAAAATTCCATCTTTATGTTCGTCTTTCCCCTTTACTCTGCATGTAAAATTTGTCTACATTGTTCTGTTTTCAAATGTCAACTTTCAACAAGAATGGAATGTTAATTAACATTACACACAGGCTAGGCTATCATTCCTCAAATTTAACAAGCAAAAGATAATCAAAACAGCAATCAACTGGGTTTCCTGTTTTTATTTACGGATATTGGTGTCCAGTTGAGGGGATTGGAATAAAATGTCCAGCTCAGTTATGGCTCATCCTTCCCTCAGTTTATGTACTCAAGGAGACCATTTCCTTCATGTGCCCCCTGATGACTCTCCTGGACCACAAAACCTATTCAAGCTTCTCCCCAGGGCCCAGAACAACACATGCAATAACTTCCTAGGGAAACCCAAAGCCTATCTCACACTTCCCACTGGGGAAACACAGACTCAGCCTTTTCTGGCGTGATTATGTAAGAATACAAGGGATTGCCCGACCCCACCCAAAGCAGAATCTATTCTTTCAATATCAACTCGTGCCTTATCTTCTTGAAAGTACTGGTGTATTCTGGGCAAAGAGGAAGCAAGCAGAATCTACCAACAATGGCAACGTACTTCAAGGATTCTGGGTAAAGAAAATCATGTTGGTAATCATGTGCAGGTTTCACTACTCATATTTTGAGAGGGGAAGGGGCAAAGGGGAAGCAGAACATTTATAAACTGGATTTTTCCCAAGGCAAGCTACCTGTCTCCCACCATCTCCAACTGCTCCCCTGAATTCCTAACCCATCAGCTGAAGCATTACTCGGTTTGAGGAAACAATTTTTTGTTGGGCAAAACATGAGCCTCTTCCAAGCAATATACATCAAGTATCAGAAGCAGTCACCCATTCCCCACCTCGCTGTGATAATTAATGATGTCACTATTTGGTCCTCAGTAATGCCTCCCACCTGGGATAGCACTGCTCTGATTTGGGAACCTCTATGAGGTTAAACATGGACTACATCCGTATTATTTTTCTTAAGGTGTAAGTTAATGTGTTTGAGGGTAACATCAAATCAAAGGGATTCACTGCATTAAACCCCTGCTTCAAAGTAAGTAGCAAGTCACTGCTTGGCTTTTTGTATCTATGCATGAATATATTGTATATAAAATAGACATTTCAAAGAAAAGGGATATTGATTCCTGCTTCTAGCCTGCCCTTTTTATAGTTTGGGTGCATAATTTCACAAAAATTCATCTCAAAACAATAAAGAGAAGTAGAAGCTAGCCAAAGTCAATAGCTATTATGATTCTGCATCTGAACGAGACCAAGAATAGGCTATTGTAACTCATTCTTTACCAAAACAGGATTATGGGTTCACTTTCTATTCTGACTCAGATGAAGTCTTCACCAGAGGAGTGCTACCAGTTCAAGGGCTATCCAAGTTCAATGTCAATTTAACTTCTTCACAGTCAGCACCAGGGTCAAAGGAGAGCTTCCACACACCTGGGTAGAACCTTAGCTTGTTCCTCAAGCCAGGATGCTCAGACGGATCAATATTCTCAGTGCCTTCTGGCTGTGAGCTGACTGTCCTCCTATCATTATATACAGAGCTCTGAAAACAGTGGTTATGCTCAAAAGCATTTGGAAACTTGTAACTGATTCTTGTCTAGTGTCTAAGATGCAACTGGCTATTTCTCCAACTGGTCCTGTCCACAACTAACCCAGCCCGGATGTGTCTGTAGTTATAAGTGGAATGCTTTCCTCTTATCCACTACCATACAAAAAATGCAAAGACATTCTTTCCTAGTTAGTAATAACCATAGGCAGCAATAACTTTAGAAGCACAGAAGAGGGGGGTGCTGTCATTCAAAAGAGGAAAAGTACATTTAATGAAAGGACAGTGCTCTCTTACTCACCACTGAAGTAAGAGCCATCTGAAAACTATAGATGCGGGCAAGGCCAAAGTCAGCCAGCTTTATTTGTCCACTGCTGGTCACCAGAATGTTCTGTGGTTTTAGATCACGATGCACCACTCGGTGAGAATGAAGGAAGTCCAGACCTCGAAGAAGCTGAAACATCATATCCTAAATAAAACAACAAAAAATAAAATCAGTAATTGCTCAAAACAAAAATTCACCATGCACTGTGTTTGACACTGAATTCCCAGCACTTTTCTGAGTACACAACACAAAGCAGACACTGGAGAAATATTAGCTGAACAAACTGATCTTCCTATTTCTCTGCACTCCACCGTCGAGAACACTATGAAACTTTTCGGTCTCAACCTGCATTTTATTAACGAAAGGACAACTTATACACCAAACTGGTATGAGGGGTAGTGTTGGGGAGGGGAATGCATTTCTTGTTTAATATGTCATTTCAGCTATGAAGATCTGGTGAATATTCATGATACTATTAATGGTGGTTCTGATTTTTACAATGAGCACTACACTGAGCAGTCACTATTGTCAAACACCATTCTAAGCACCCTCCATTGAGTTAACTTGTTTAATCTACAACAAATGTTGAGGGAAATAATCTCATCACTCCATTTTATAGGTCAAAAAAGTGAAGTCAGGTAACTGTCGCAACACAAGCAAGAGACAGTCTTAAATCAAACCAGGATCCAGAAAAGCTGAGTTCAAATCTCCAATGCACTCCTTTCTTAGGTTAATAAGTGTGTAAGATGAGGCAAGCCATTTAACCTCTCTGAGACCAAGTGTTTCCCATCTGTAACAAAACCGACTTTCTACGAGTAGTGTTTGCTGCACTATCATGATTAACTGGTATGGGAACAAAGGCAATCAGATATTTTCCTAATTTTAGGTCTAATAAAATCAGATACAAAACATGAAGTTCAGAAACAGTATTTGAGAGTAGGAACTTAAAGACACTGGCCATAATGTTATGGTCCTCTGACATCTGGAACTGGTAAGAGTAACCTACTCTTTAACCCCAATATTGTGAGAACAGTGCCTACAAGGGAAGATCAGCCTATTTCATTCATATTTGGGTTGAAAAAGTGATCACACAGCATCATGTACTTTAGAGCTGACAGCTGTGTGAAGACATGCTTGTTTATCAGCTGGAACACTAATCTTTTGCATCAGGAAAGGCATAGTTTTATGTTTCTGGTTTCCAGTTCCGGTTTTTCTTCTAGAGATGGGAGCTGTGTATTCACGTCCCAGCTTGTCTGAAACCAAATCCTCCGTTTCTCCATTTATCAAATGGAGAAAGTGACATTTACTTTTCGTAAGAGTAGGAAGTTTAAGTGAAGCAATGTGTGCAAGTGGGAGTGCCACTTCTGGCACACAGTAGTTCTTAGGATGACCACTGCCTTGATAGGTGGTCTGTTTCCTGGGGGAGACAGATCACAAACAACTCTGAAATGTACCCCAGTGTTATACGGTCAGGTTATAAGCTCCGAGAAGGGGATGCAATGACACAGGTGTTTGGGGTCACTTTTGAGATCCTCCTAAGTGGATATTCTGAGCCGGAAGGGTTACCTTTTAAGCTTGCAAAGGTGAAAGCCCTGGGGGACTGCACTGGAAAGGCATGCGAGCTGATGCAGGTCAAACAACTAGCAGTGAATAAAAAGCAGTGTGAAAATGTGGCACAAATGTTAAAGAAAGTCATCTCTGCTGTGGCAAAGAAGTCTTTATTAGAAACATGCACACAGCTTATAAGCACTGGATGTTAAAAAGCATGACCACCCTGAAGTAATGTGAGGCTGCCTCATCATCTTCATCTTCCTCACCCATTTAAAACGGAACCAAGAATAAACCATGCCAGAGGGTCGTCAATTTAAGTAGCCAATTAGCAGCATAAAAATTTACACTAATTAAGTAATAAAAGGCCCAACTAAATTTGTATTTAAAAGTACGTATTGCTTTTGTGTACTTATGTACATAGCACACACTGCATTTTTACTGGTTACAGAATTGATAAAACGAGTATGTCCATACTTACAGAAACCTGTAACTCAGGCAGAAAATGAAAAATCAATCAACATCCCAGTAATGACAACAGAGAAAACGTCACTATTAAATAGTAATTTTTGTGGTTCTTTCTAGTCTGCCTTTTAAAAATTACACATATTATCATATTTGTATGAGCAAATAAAACATACATTTAAATAAAATGCCTATTTGATACACTTTGGTGGCCCTTTAAAACCATGTAACAATTTATTGTGACTATTCTGTCACTTAAATAAAAATATTCTATATGTAACTTTCTTATACAGCATGATTTTTAATGGCTACATAGCTCTCCTCCTTGGGGTATACCATAATTGTTATTATTTGGTTCTAGTTGTTTTAAATTTGGCACTCGTACTACAGGTCTAGTTCTGATTTGTTTAAAAGTTAGAGTAGACTAAAATGACTTGTTGATAACATTATGTCCACGCCTGAGTTAAGCAGTGTGAATCCACATGACTGCACTAACAATAATTCCATGTTAATGACCCCCAAGGCTGTAAGTTTGTTCTATGTTAAAAAATTACCATCAACTGGTTCCAAATAATAGGATGATATGAATGAGTGAACTATAGCAGTACACAAGTATAAAAAAGCAGCTTTACTTCTGAATCATAAGAAGGGTTTTGATCAAAGATATTTCAAAGGGTTCTCTACTTGGGCTAATCTGTTCTATCTCAATTTACAGTCTCATGAGACATACTTTTAAATTAGCTCCTCTAGATTTTAATCTAAATTAATCTCTATCCTATAGAAGAGTCAAATACTTCACAGTAACCAAAGTGATACAACACAGTGAAACTAGGGAAACTGTCAACTACAGGTCTTTAAATTAAACACAGGTTTGGACGTTTCCCTCATTATGTTGCAAACTTCTGGCACGGAAGTTCTGAACGTTTAGTCATATTTGTGATAAACAGTCACATGAGCCTTATTCTATCTTGACATGTAACCTGAAAGTGTGTTTTAACAGGGTTCCACTATGGAATGAAGAAAGCCCTAAGTGTTTTTAAATGGGGCTCTGCGCTTGGCAACTCCCCGGCAGAAGACTCCAGGCCTCAGTCTGAACCTTTTAACTGTAGTCTTCAAGTCTTTTAACTGTTTCTTTTGGATATTCTAGAGTTGTAATTTCCTTACTTTTTAGAAACCCAAACAAAGGGCCAGGGATATAGCTCAGCGGCACAAGCACCTGCCTGGCAAGCACAAGGTCCTGAGTTCAATTCCCAGTACCAAAAAAAAAAAAAAAACGAAAACAAAAAGCAAACCAAAACCCAAAAAAAAAACCAAAATAAAAACCCAAGCAAATGAACGAACTCAAATAAGCAAACTCCAATAAGCAGACCTTAAACTGTTCTAATGGGAAAAAAAGTTATGATATTGAGGGGTCCTGTTTTCCAACTGTCAACTATGAGGATTAGTTCCTAAAGGTACTAAAAACACTCAGTTTATACCAAATAGTAAATCACAGACATAGGAGCCTTCAAATGGACATTTCTGGGTATTTGGATGTGTCTAGCTAACCTGAGGAGTATGTTCACACCTTCAAACTTTTGGTTCCAAAAATGTGTAATAATTTTTCTGTTTAAAAACTGAAAATAAGACATACACAATGTGCACAAAGCATGATCATTATTTTTTCTTATAATCTGCAAGCCACAGTCTTTTCAAATTCGTCATCAAAATTTTCATAGAACTATCTTCATAATATTTTGTCTGTTTCCTAGAAAAGCGTGTTATAAAAAATCTACACTCTCAGATGTATCACTTTTAAAGTTTTTTTTAATACCAAACTGATAACAACATATGGACTTAATTAAGGTAAGGATTATGATTACAGAAACAGAAGTAAAGGTTACCTGAATCTACACTTAAACAGGGGTGGTTAAGTCATGAAATACAGAGCTACTGAAAACAGTAAGGGCCAGTTTCAGATCTTTTTTCCCTTTTACCAATACATATGTTTGTTTGTCTATGTACCTATATATTTAACTTTTAACTGTGGAAAAATACATAAAACATAACATTTACTAACTTGAACCATTTAAAGTGAATATTCGGTATTAAGTGTATTCACCGTATTGTGCAAAAAACTTCTTCAGAAAGAAACTAAAACTCAGAATGCACAAATAAGAAAATATGAAGTTTGAGGGCCTTAATGTTTTATAGTTTTGTGATGTTTTAAAAGTAATTAATATTATACTATGAATATTTCCCCACTTCAACACATATCCTTCTATAATACAATTACAAGAATATGCCTTTTAGCAGCTGCATTTGCGTGAGACACCCTCTCATCTATCCCCACTCTCCTCAGTTCCCTGGTTTGGAATTTTCCCCCTCACCCTATACTCCCCTTCTCGCCTATGAGGTGGTGCATTACAGAAGCTGCTTTTCCACAGGGCAGAGCATATTTGCCTGCTGCAGCAGACATTGTTGGTGGCCAGTCATGCCTGCAGGGCTGGTCCAAACCAATCAAGGCAATCCTACTTCCATGTGCAGGGAATTGCTTCAGGGACGGGCATGAGACTCTGGCCCATGTGGGCAAGTTGGCCAAAGAGTTTTAGGACATATTTGTCTCTTTGCTAGGAGAAGCACAGTAGCAAGTTCTCTGCCATGCTTCCCCCTCCTTTGCCAGCTCCCACCTGTCTTACACTGAATTTGCAGCTGCAAATGTCTTGAAACATAAGGGGAGACACGATCTGCATAGGTAATGGGCCAGGCTGTAAAAGGGGAGTACGGGTCTTTGGTAATATCAATGAATAGTGAAATCAACTTTGGGGACGCCTAACTCTACCCCTGTAGTGTGGTACATGCCAACATCCTAATTTAAAGCCATTTTTAACTGAATGTTTTGCAATTTGCAGCTGAAAATTACTCTAAAAAATATTAACAACTAAAATTATACAAATGAAAACCTGCTAAGGCCACCAAGTTTCCTTTACAGCCATCATCCTTCACCTCTTGCCCAGCGGTGCCTGTAGCAACCATTCTGTTCTTGTTGCTGGTTATTCCTTTCACATGGTTATTCTTTTCTCTTGGACACTCTACATCCTTCCATTAATGCTCACGAAGTTTCTTTCTTCCTCACTATCATTTGCTGTAAATCCCCTGCATTCACCTGGAACTGTGATTAATCCTCTGTACCCTACACTCACCATCTCCCTGAAGGACACTTCAACATACCCAGTACGCCCAGCTTACACTTCAGCTCCAGAGACCTTTGACTTCTTTAACCTAATCTACTTTCCCGTCTGTTTAATACTCACACAGAGAGAGACTCTGTTTTGTAAGTGTAATGCTACCACAATCAGATCACACATATAATGAACTCATCTATATACACATCTATTTACAATAGACCTATTTCTAAACTTTGAATGGATTGTTTCTGTATGTTCCACAGAATCTAACAGGACGCCTTATGTTGAGAAACCTGTTGGTTTTTGTTAATTTGAGGAATCACCTAATAGTCTTATAGATAGGAATTTACATGAAATATGATGACTTTCACTCCTGGCTGTGTATGCAAGAGTTAACAGAACATTCTCACTATTAAACTGATTCTTGATTCCTTCTTCAGCAAGAAGACCATGATTCTGCACTGCGGATCATCAGCTACGCCCCAAAGATTTACTGAATGCTTTCCAAGTGGAGGCACAGAAGAAGTACAAAAAGATTCCTCTTGGAAACGTATAACCTGCACATGTTTTGTAAAATTTCATTTTTAAGGGCTGTATGATTGAGAAGAAAAACACTGGATTTTGAGCTGAAAGACTTGGTTATGAATTTGTGCTTACTAGTTATACAATCCGAGGCAAGACACGTGTACATTGAGGGCCTTGGTTTCCATGCCTATAAAATGGAAATCTCAAAGAAGGAGCAATTTAAACAAGATGTTATATCCTATACACTTATATGTAATTACAGATGAACTATATGTAGGATACTAAGTAGAATATCATATACATAGGTATTTTATGTGTTGTAAAGTAGCACAATGATCTGTTACCATTTATTCAAAAGGGCTATGAAGCCTCTACTATGTATAAGGCACTGTGTTAAGATGATGCTATGCAGAAGCATCTGAAGACAAGAGTCCCAAGGTGCTCCTGTTTCAATAGGGAGAGATGGGCTGGAACACTACTAGAAATGGAAACCAAGGGGAAAGACAATTCAGGAGTCAAGTGCAGTATGTTAAGTGTTTAGCTAATAGGCCATCTTCTGAGGGCTCTGCTGCATTTCCATGCCACACACTGGCTGACCTTGGGCTTGCTATTTAACCTCTTCCTCCAGCATCTAGCCTTAGTTTCCTCATCTATGCAGCAGGGAGAACACCTTCTTGTCATATGGCTGTGATGCCCTCCTCCAGGTGGGACCCCCCCAGTGTGGGTAATGGGTTCAGACCTGGTACCACTATTTCAAGAAGAGACTCTGGCACTTACCATTAGCAAAGCCATTTGGCAACACCGTAAGTTCAGACTCACCTAGTTTTCTCCAGATAGTACACGACAGCCTCCCATCTTCCCTAACACTTATTATTAAGATCAGAAAAGTAACTATACATATTATTTTAAGTGTTATGTTACCTGCTTTGAATTTCCAAAGTCTAAAGACTGCTAGCACAAAAATTTTTCCAATAGATATTAGCACAAACCTTTTCAATGAACTAAGAGATACTAATAGTATAACTGACTTGCATTTTAAGCAACTACTTTAAATGATAACATAAAATGTAGTAACTATGGTTGTTCTCCTATTATTTTGTTATGAAATTTTGTTTGACCTTTTTCCATAAGATAGTAAAAAAGAGAAAGTATTTAGAAAGTTATACAGTGGAACCTTGGTTCACAAACGTAATTTGTTCCACCATACTGGAAATGATGGCTGCGGGAAAGATGGCCATGGCTGTTTTCTCAGCAAATGGTGAGTTCATAAACAAAAACAAACTTTTGCCAAACGCTTCTGTTTGCGCACCAAATTGTTTGCAAACAGCGTTTGTGAACTGAGATACCAGTGTGTATCTGGCTGTATATAATCTGAGAGTCACAAAGATGATGTACTATGATAAAAACATTTGGAAAAGGAGAAGCCTACTGGAATTTGGTACATGTAGTATTATAAAACCTCTTTATTGTTACGGAAGAATGCATACGCATAACATCTTTCCTCTTTTAAAACTGCCTCCATGTATTTAAAGAGCATTAATCTATCAGCTTTTCTCATTAAACAAACAAACAAAAAAAAAACTGCTAGCATTTTAGGTCTCGAAGGATCCTTAGAAATCATTTGTTATTATTCATGGAATGCATTTTATGTTTCTTTTTATAAATAACCTAACTTTCTGATGTGGGTTTAAATTATTTTCTACCTATACTTAGTCTAACCATTATAGTTCTCCCTAACTGTCCTTTGAGTGTTTTCATAGGATAATAACCACAAACTAAGAGTGTAATATAAAAATTTACTTAATTGACATATCTATTTAGAAGTTACTAATGAATAGGAGAAAATTTTTAAAAATTACTAATGAACTTTTTGCACATAATTAATTCTGGTTGCTTTCCCAGCTTAACAAATAAGAACTAGAATTTGTGACATTATTTCCTTATGTTATCCATTAATGGTGCACTGTGCGCATTCCAATGCAGAGAGGGAGAGAAGAGCAAATGAGGACTCTGAAAAGAACACTTAGCTTCATTTGGTCAAAAAATGGTCTTTACAAGGGTTTTTATTATGGGTCATAAAACACTGCTTACCACAATGTACCTCTTCCTCAAAAAAGAAAAGAAACCCTTGCAGTGGTGAGAAGCTGAAAACAACACACTGAGAGTCCTCGTGCCTTCCTCCCATAAACACATCTGTGTATGTTAATCTGTTTTGGGAAGAGCTGTGTGCACAGCTGTTTATGGGGCTCTGAAGAAGAGGCAGCACTTCAACATTCTTTATTTCATGCTGTTGCAAGAACTAAATCTAAGCTGAAGCCTGTTAGGATAGAGAGCAAATGCATCTCCGGGGGGAGGACAGCCATATGCTTCGCACTAATAACATCTTCCATGGGCAGGAAGAGGCTCTGGGTGGTCACATCCCATGAGGAAAGCATGGAGGCCAAGGGAAAAGGGGATCTCCTCACCAAAAGGAACTGAAGAACTAACCACCAAGCCAGAAACGAGACCTGGGTTAACAATCTGATGGCCATTTTGCAAAGAAGTCGGCAGGTTAACAAGAAGACTGGCATCGCGGTGGGAATTATCCGGGGAAAGAGTAGCATCATTATGGCTAGGAACACCTTAGCCTTCATGCGGTACTGGTATCCAGGTATAGGCACACCTATGCATGGAATGCCGTTTCAGGTTAAAGATGTCCCTGCTCAAGTGCAGTGCTCTTTAACTTCTTGAGCTGGAGGTTCTCTTAAACAAGCCCTTCTTACCTTCAAATCTTTTCCTGGCCCACTTAAAGCTCCCAGTTAGCCTTCTGGGTCTTTCCCTTCCCTGGCACCAGAAAACTGTGTTCTACTTCTTACGCTTTTCCTCCAAGGCCGCTCCTCAGCAACCATCTGTCCGTCTCCTACTACAATTAGAACTGCTGAAACAAAAACGCCCACACGCAGGAAGACTGGAGTGATGATATATCACAGCCTCCAATTTCCTCTGGGCTTTCAGTGTGCTCTCCTCTGGCTCTGCGGAAAGCTCCCTTTGTGTTGCCCACAATAGCTACCACAAACATTTAACATTTGTCTGTTTTCTCTGTCTCATTTTCATTCTAATTGTGGTTCTCCAAAGTATCTTAAATTCTAAATTCCGCCTCCACCCCCTCACCTCGTTCATTCATGGCTTTAACCTTTATATTGGTCATATTTTGAGACATCCCAAGTCATGAGAGGAGTTGGACTGTGCCCAAACTCTGTGCAAGCTTTTCTTCCTGCTCTTTTCCAGAATATCCCACACAAGTGGTCATCTCAAGCTGTCCAAAATAACACAGGTTTTTCACTTCTATCAAAACTTCAGCCTGTACTTCTATCAAAACTTCAGCCTTGTACCACCATCCGCCCAAATGAGCAATTCAGAAATTTGACAAATATTTTAGGTTCCTTCTCCCTCCCCAACCATGTCACCAATCAGCCACCCTGTCCTGGTCATTACCGTTTCCAAACTACCTTTCAAGTGAAGGTCATTTGCATTCTCTCTGGTCTTCACAGTCCTAATCAAGCTGCCAGTACGGCTTGCCTGGACCCCTGCAACAGTGATCCAACACAGCTAGCTCCCATCTTTAGATTTATGTATCTTTAATCTTTTCTACACAGTGATGACTAAGTGATACTTCTCAAAGGTCAATATGAGTCACACAGAAATCCCCTAAACTCACTCTAAAACAAAGGTTCAACTTAAGACTGATACCTAAGGCACTTTACTTTCTGATTCCTAACTCCCTCTGGCTTTATTTACAGCTATTCTCCCACCTCTCCCACTGTGCTTACAAGGTAACATTATATCTCTGTCGCTTTGCAGTGCTCCATTCTCTCTTCAATGCTCTTGCCAAAAAGTGACTCCATCCCCAACATACACACATCTTCCAATATGTATCTTATCTGGCTGCCTCCTTGTAGCCTACCTTTGAAAACTTGTGTCAGTCAGTCTTTGGTCAAGTGCTGGTCAATTCTTCCACACCTGCAGGCTAACGGAGGCACCCCTTCCTATAACACACCACACTACATAAGCATTCTGTTACAGAGCTTATCTCACTTTCCTTGAAAGGTTATGTCTCCTTCCCTTGCTGCTAAGAAGGTAACTGGAAATGAAGGTGGGGTGAAAAAAATAAAGGCGCATCCTATGCACTCCACTATATTATTTCCCCAGACACTTTGCATGTGTTATTTCACTTAACTCTTAGCACTCTGTTGAGTAAACTCATCATTCATTCATTCAAAGTTTGTATCGTAAGCCCGCTCTTGTGGCAGGCACTGTACTGGGCTGGAGAGCAGTGGTGATTCTGAGAGTTCCACTTCACTGATGCCTGGGCTCTTCTTGACCTTGTGCCACAGGCTCACCAGCCCTCTTCAACTTCTGCCTTGGACCTCAGGTGCTGAATAAATACAAGACGCACGCACAACGCTGTTCTTAAAAGATGCTAGGAGGTATGACAGACATTGTGAAACAAAAGGAAAATGCTCAAAAGTACAGGGCAACTGGGGTGAGGGAACAGAGAAAAGAAGGGGAAATTATGTATGTATGTATGTATACACAGGATAGCTAACATAGTTGAACTACTGTCTTCTACTGCTTTACTGAAAGGAGCAGTTAATGATTCCTTGTTTGATCAATATTGCATGTGTCTATTTGTCGTCCTGAGAAACCACTTTGTAGATATCAATACATAATACAACAACCATTGTTAATTTCCTACAACTTTGCCTGTAACTCTGTACTGTTTGTATTGTTCTTATGCTATTTTGTAAGTGGATGTCTGTTTGTTAATATGTTTTCCTTTTTTTTTAAAATAAATTTTAAAAAAAGATGCTATGACCCACTTCCATGCACTCACCCTACAGAACCATCAGTGCAAGTTTATAATGAGTCAGTACAAAGAGGTTCACTGCCATTTTGTTTCAAAGTACAAAACATGAATATACCGACAAGACCAATAGAGAAAGAGTTAAATCAGGGATGATGTGTCCTGCAGTTTGGATCTGTAATGTTCACCAATGCCTGTGTGGTGTTTAGCCCGGTATTCTGGACAGCAGAACCATTAAGAGGTGGGGACTACAGGAAGGTTTTTGGTGACAGGATGTCAGTGTGCCAGGGAAAGAACTGTGAGGCACCATGCTCTTCCTGTCGTTTTGTTTGTTGGTCACCATGAGTTAAACAGTCTGCTGTATGTACAAGCTCTGTGCCATGATGTGTTGCTGTGTCACAGGTCTAGAGCACAGGACCAGTTGACCATGCACTGGAACCCCCCAAAGCCAGAACAAACCTTTCCTCTTTAGAAGTTTATTATCTCAAGTATTCTGATACAGCAATAGATAGCTGTCGAACACAATGTGTCTACAATGTAATCTCAAGCAGCCATTAGAAAGATGTGTGATAATATCATGTAAACTAATCAGTGATGGAGTAAACCTAAGATACATAACATCTTTTTTTTTTTTTTTTTTGGTACCAAGATTCAAACTCAGGACCTTGTGCTTCCAGATAGGTGCTTATCCACTGAGCTATATCCCTGGCCCTAGACACATAACATCTTGAAAAAGAAAAATGTACATATTTATGAACGTGTGGCTATGTCTGGATAGGCTTGTAGGATAAACTACAAAACACTTCATTAAATTTGAATTTGAGATAAACAACAAATACTTTTTAAACTTATGTGTCCCACGCAGTATGCACAACATATACACATGAAAAAATTATTCACTGCTTTGCTGGACTTTAATTGAATATCCTTATTTTATTTGATAAATCTATGATAGTAACCCAGTCAGGCATGTGCCACCATGTATGAAAGTCTGAGTCTAGCCTTGGCAACTTAGTGAGACCCTATCTGAAACTAAAAAGAAAAGGTTGGGGATACCGTTCAACCTGAAGGCCCTGGGTTCAAGCCCCAGTAACCAAAAAAAAAGTTTGGAAAGAGATATAGCTACAGGTAAAGGTTTTTACTTCTGGGTATAAGTGTGGAAGGAAGGAAGAAAAGGGAGAGATTTCTGTTTTTTTAATGACAAGTGTTAAAAGAGGTAATATTAAGGGTGTTTTTTAAAAATTTCTTTATGTTCTTTTGAATTGGCTAATAAAATTATATATATATAAACACATATATATAAATGTTTCTCCTACCAACTTTAATCTTTAAGTGAGTAGCCAGCAAGCCTTTAAAAACATAAAATTTAGTGTGTTTGATAAAGTTTGTGAAATCCTACAAAAGTCACTGAAAAATATTTCACAGAAACAGAAAGTTTCACCATTTTCTAAGAAACAGCACATCATTTTCTAAGTTACACAATGTTATGTCCTCAAATAGTATAGTTAGTTAAAGATGATTAAGTACAATTTGCTCAGGGTGTCTCTTTTTACCCACCACTTGCTGACATGAATCCCAGGGAAGAACAGGTACTCAATAAATTTAGTTTTAAAACTGAAAAATAAAAATTGTACATATGTATCAAGTACATGATGTAAAAGTACTTATACTTTGTGAAATGGCTAAGTTAATCTAACTGACATATATATTATTACTTTATTTTTTGTGATTAAAACACTTAAAATCTACTCTCTTAGCAATGATCATGAAAACAAAACATTTTGTACCTAATACTGAAGTATAAAATTACTGGAAGGTAAAAACTAGAGATAGTTGTGATAGACAAGAAAAATGTGTTTTGGAGAAGACGTAAGATACAAATTCGGATGGAGTTTTTTTTTTAAGCCTCTTACTTAACTATATAAAATATTTTAGAATGAAATCTAAGTCAACAATGTCCTTTCACAATATTCCCAAACTTTTGGTAAGCTACTAGTAAAAAGCTTAAAAGTTTATAGGCAAAATAGCCAATGTAAAAACCCTATGTATCCCATAGCACAACGAAGATTGCAATTTCTCCTTCCTTGGCTACTTCTAAACCCTGTTTCTCTCCTGTTTGTTGGAATCAACACGCAGAGCTTTTCCAAACGGTTTCTGACACCTTTTATCTGGTCTCTAAGGCTGTTAGCTCAGGTTCTGGATCATCTTAGAGCCTGTCAGACATGATTTGCCCAGGAATACTGGGCTCATAAATGCTTCCTGGAGTTCCTAGGTAGCTTGTAAGTGTTAATGACATTCAAATGAATGCAGTTTGCTTGTACTGCGCACTTCTGTGATGTCCCCAAAAGGAGTAACAGTATTCACACCCACATTCATTCATAAGCAGCACAACAGATAAACAAAGAGAATTGTTTTTCTTCTTTCAAATGCAGGATCTGAAAGAAAAGTGAGATAACATGAAAGTAGGAGAGGACTATTAGTGAACAGGAAGGAGTCAGGGCAAGGAGGCAAAGAAAGGCAAGGAACTACAGAGGGCGGAAAATGACCTAATTTTGTTATTTGCACGTATGAATACGCCCAAAACTCCCATTTTTCTGTATAATTACTATGTACTAAAAATAAAATAAAAAATTAAAACTCCTTTCTCTTCTGGAATTGTATTATTATTAATTTTTTTTTTTTGAGACAAGGTCTTGCTATGTAGTTCACGCTGGCCTTGAACTTGCAGAGATCCTCCTGCCTCAGCTGGGTTTCTGCTGATTTGTGTGGCTCGTCCTCCAGAGTAACATCCTCCTAGTCCTATAGCAACCCTGTTTTGCTCCTGTAGAGCTTGTCATTTTCAACATTCACATGGCATTTGTCATGGGGGCTATTTCTCTATATATTCTATTTTCCTCTTCTGGAATTTAAACTACCCATAAGCTGCACTTATGTGATAATGTTCCCATCATTTAGCAGATCAGCTTTAACTATAAGGACTTATAGGATAAATTTGATATAAAACTAGAATGTATTTCTTTTTAGACAGGCTTTCTTGGTCCCATTTAAAGCATGCCAGTAAGAGCTGATGCATTTTAGATGTACCAAATATTACAATATTTTGAAAATTAGCACTTCTATTTGATCAGCTAGCATCCAGAAAATACGGTAAGATTTGAAGGAAAAATGTGTAAATGTGCATGTACTGTATTGTTCCCAGGGCTTTCACTTTTTAAGTGTTTCAGAAAATTCTTAAAATCAACACCCTAAACTTAGGAGGCCATATTATGTGTTCTATATGTAGAAATTTCACAAGTAAAACTTCATAGGATTTGACTGCCCAGAGACTAGTAAGATTTCTAACATAGTTCAGGCAACTGTTATCTTACCACAAAGAAAGTGACGGAAAAAACAATCAACACAGTGAGGAAGTGAATGGGAAAAAAATTTGCCAGCTATTCTTCTTATAGAGGACTAATATCCAGAATACAGAAAAGAACTCAAAAAATTACCCTCCCAAACAAATGACCCAGTCAAAAAAATGGGCAAATGAGCTCAGCAGACTTTCTCAGAAGTAAAAATGGCTAGTAAGTATATGAAAAAATGTTCATCATCTTTAGCCACTTGGGAAATGCAAATCACCCAGTCAGAATGGCTCTTTTTGAGAATATAAAAAAACAACAAATGCTGGTGAGGCTGTGAGGGTGAGGGGAGCCTTTCTACATTGCTGGTGGGAATGCAAACTGGTGCAAGCACCATGGAGATCAGTATGGAGGTTCTCCAAGAACCTAAAACTAGAAATTCTGTTGGACCCAGCTATACTTCTCAAGGGTATACACCGGAGAACTAAGCATCACAGTATAGTGATACATGCATATCTATGTTTACAGCATGCAGTTCAATGAGAGATGGTAGGAAAAAAAGAAAGCAGACTTTTGGAAACAGGGAAGGCAATCAGGGTAAGAGAGGGGCTAGAGAGAGGAGGACAAAGGGCTTGAAAACGATCAAGATGCATTACAGGCATGTACCAATTCTCCCGAAGGAACACCATACCATATTGCAAATATATGCTAATAAGAGAAAAAGAAAACACCAGTAACAGTGATGAAGAAAATGCAAAGGGCATTTTATAGTCAACAAAGGCTGCATCAGAAGGAAGAAGGGCTTTTAAGGACACCAAATACATCAAGTGACCCTGGTGGGTCATTAAGGCCTCTGAAAAATCTACCTGATATCACTTTTTACTATGTTGGTAAGCCATCACTATCATCAGAGAGACCCCTGGCGTAGCACTAGGTCTTTGAAAACACAGAAGGATAACTAGAACATACACAAGACAACAGTAACCTTTCCCTTTTATACCAGTGGTGGTGAACCTATGACATGCGTGCTGCAGCAGGCTGTTTGTATGACTGAAAGCTCTAAAAGGTTCACCATCACAGCCTTTTATCATTAGGCTAGGAGACTGTGTACAAATACTTTCACTGTCATTTGATTTGCACATCTATAAAGCTTATTTTACAGCTAAGAAAAAGGATGCTCAGAGAAGGTAGTTGCTCAGGCTAACAACCAACTATCTTGCTGGCAGACTGTCTTTCACCGTATCAAATAAGTAAAACAAAATAGGTAGATAGCCTCCTGGGCCTTTAGATCTTTCTGGTATTGCAGTTTTTCCCCAAATCTAGTCAAGGTAT